TTGTGGCGGGTGCCTATAGTCCTAGCTACTCAGGAGGCTGAGGCAAGAGATTCGCCGAAGCCCAAGAGCTGGAGGTTGCTGTGAGCTGTGATGCCATAGCACTCTACCAAGGATGACAAAGTGAGACTCTGTCTCTAAAAAAATAATAATAAAAATAAATAAAAAAATAAAATGCATATATATTTTTTCAGCACTCTCTCTATATATATTATTCAGCCTTAAGAGGAAAGGAAATCCTGTCATTTGTGACAAAATAGGTGAACACGAGCCAAATGTAGTGGCTCACTCCTGTGATCCCAGCACTCTGGGAGGCCAAGGCGGGTGGATAGCTTATGCTCAGGAATTCAAGACCAGCCTGAGCAAGAGTGAGATCCCCATCTCTACTCAAAAAATAGAAAAACTAACTGGCTGTGGTGGTGCACACATGTAGTCCCAGCTACCCAGGAGGCTGAGGCAAGAGGACTACTCAAACTCAAGAGTTTCAGGTTGCTGTGAGCTATGACGCCAAGGCACTCTACTCAGGGCAACTCTGTCTCAAACAAACAAACAAAAAAAAGGTGAACATGCAGGACACTGTGTTAAGCGACACAAAGCAGGCACGGAAGATAAATACTGCATGGTCTCGTGTTCCTGGAGAATCTAATAAAGTCCAACTCATAGAAGCAGCGAGGAGAGTGGTAGTGAGGGTAGAGAGGCTGGAGGGGAGTGAAGGGAGTTGGGAGATGTTGATCAGAAGGCGTAAAGAGTCAGACATATCAGAGGAATACTTGGGAGATGTACTGCACAACACAGTGACTGTGGCGGAACAAGGCTCACTTAGTATGTTTGAAAATTAAGAGCAGATATTAAGTATTCTTACACAACAGGAAAAAAAGAACTATGTGAGGCAATGGATACATTAATGAACTAGATAGATAGATAGACAGATCAGGTTATGAACCACAAATATATACAATTCTTACTTTTCAATTTAAAAAATTAATGTTATTAATAAAGGCCTGTAGAAGAGGATATGAGTGTCCACTCAGAAAACAGAAACCCAAAGAATTTCTGTATTGGACATAGAAGCCTCTGAGTCCATCTGAGTACACTTTACAGAGGACAGGTGGGCAGAGAGAAGAGGCAACTGGCTGAAGGCTTGTCTCCAACGAGGACCACGGCTCTGACACTCTCCTAGTCCCTGCCTGTAGACAGGACCACACACAGGACAATTTTCCTAGAATCTGCTTTATCAGCAAGATGTTCCAGGCTCTTGATGATACCTAAAGATCTTTATGGCATCTTGACATAGCCAGAGGGCTGCCTCTGGCTAATTTGCAGGAGACAGACCAACTGATAACTCCTAATTAATTTACTGTCTTATGGCCCTTTTATAGAACCAAGCCCTTATAAAAGGATAATAAAATCCTTGAACTCTGGAATCAGGGTAAAGTAGGGACCTTAGATGGCTAAATACTCCAGCCGGTATTTTTCAACCTTTTTGATCTCATGGCACACTTAAACCTAGAGTTAACCTTTCACAGCACACTTAAATTACGTTAATCAAAAAAAAAAGAGAGTGAAAAAAATATATACTTACTGTGTTTTGAACTTCTTTCAAAAATAATTTAATCAATGATCTTTAAAAATTTTCATGGCATACCTAAGATCCTCTCATGGCACACAGGTTGAAAATCACTGTTCTAGACTCTATCAATGGCAAAGCAAGCCAGACTTCCCATCACCCCAGCCCGGGTACAGCTCTGTGCCTGGGAGGCGAGAGGAAGTGGCCCTGTGTGCACCAACAGAAATCACCACCCAGCCACGGCAGACAGCAGGGCTCACCGGGTGGATATCCAGGAACAGGGAATGCTCTTCTTGGTTAGGGTGCAGGCCGATCACCGCTTCTGCCAGGACTGGGTCAGCATTGTAGAAGTGAGGCTGGGAGAGAAACAAGGGAGCACCTAGAAGGCAGAGGGCACAGAGGGGCCGTCAGACCAAGGGAGCACATCAGCATGTCCAGCACTTGCTTCATGCCAGGCCTGGGTGGGAAGCAAGGGACACAGACTGCCAGACAGCTGCAGTCTGCAGAGCACCTCCGGGATGATGACAAGATGCCAACTCCAATAACCAGGCAGGAGGGGGCCTTCCTTCATGGTGTAAAGAGGCCCTGGGCACTGGGACGTGGCAAGGGACAGGCTCTCTGCTGGAGGAAGAGCGAGAGACCAAAGGCAGGAAGAGAAGAGGGTGGGAGGGATGGCAGGAGCAAGCACCAGAGGGAGGGAGATGCAGGGTGCATGAAGGAGAATCATGGGAGGGGAGGACAGAAAGGTAAGTCGAGGCCAGGTTTGAACTTGGGTGTGTGGAGGGGAGTCTCCAGTGCCAAGCCAAGCAGCCCAGACTGTCCCCTGTGGGTAGTGCAGTGACAATCAGTGAGCTCAGGCATGCACACCTGTGGCCAGGTCGCCTGGCTATGTCCACCTGGAAGGAGAAGACACACCTGCTTCCCTCCGCTCCCAGAAGCCAGTCTGTGGGCCGGATACCAGCGTGTATGAGTGGGGACAGACCTGACCTCTCTGAGTGAGAAACACACACAGAAACATGAGGCCGAACCTTGTCACCGACTGACCACACAAGGCAAATGCCAATTCATCCTCCAGACAACGGACTGTGGGCCTGATGAACAACGGGTTAACAAAGAACCCATGAGTCTCTCTCTCTCAACCTCAGGAAGACCCAGGACTGGGAAACCCACAGAACAAGAACAAAGCAGACCTGCGGGTGCTGGGTGTGGGCTGGGGGAGGGGGCTGGGAGTGACTGCTTATTGGGCAGGGATCTCCTTTGGGGATAATGGAAATGTCCTGGGACTAGAGAGAGGTGATGATTGCACAACAGTATGACTGTCCTACATGCCACTGAGCTGTACACTTTAAAATGGCTAATTCTGTCTTATAAATTTTGCCTCAATTAAAAAAAAAAGTAAAAACAATCAAATCACCAGCCCCTCCCTCCTTGCCAGCCAGATGCCTGGCATTCACGCTTAGAGGCATCACACAGCCTCATATTTCTGGATTATTTCTGCTTTTCTTAGCAAAGCCAGGCACTGGTTTGAAATAAAAGGCAGGGTTTTATCAGTGTCGGGTTTCATTTTCCTCAGAGTCCTTGTGCCTCTCTTCCCTCGATGTTTTTCAAACCTCATCCGTTCTTCAATTCTGCAGTGTCTGAATACCCCCTGCACTGTTATGCAATGCGCTTCTCTGAGCCAACTGCCATTGCCTTCCTTAAATATATACTTTAAAAGACAGCTTTATATCCACACTGTCACTGGCAAACACCACAAACACTTAGAAAGTAAAGGAACACAAACAAGAGCAAAATAATACTCTCTGCCTTGTAGGCTTGCTGTTAGAATTAAATAAGAGGGCTCAGCGCCTATAGCTCAACCGGCTAAGGCGCCAGCCATGTACACCTAAGGTGGCGGGTTCGAATCCCCAGCCCGGACCCGCCAAACAACAATGACGGCTGCAACCAGGAAATGGCCGGGCGTTGTGTCGGGCGCCTGTGGTCCCAGCTACTTGGGAGGCGGAGGCAGGAGACTCGCTTGAGCCCAGGAGTTGGAGGTTGCTGTGAGCTGTGATGCCAGGGCACTCTGCCCAGGGGGACAGCTTGAGGCTCCGTCTCAAAAAAAAAAAAAAAAAGAATTAAATAAGAGAATGAATATAAAGCACATGGGGGTATAGAAATTTGGAATACAGTAGAACCTCCCTAGTTGACCACCTCCTAATGTTGACCTAGTTTTCATAGACCAGACATATGCCACGTGCACACATCAGTACAGTAGGCCAAGTTCCTATGTTGACACCTCTGGATATTGACTGGTTTGTTGCAGCCCCTTGAATGGTCAACTTACAGAGGTTCTACTATATTAGAATAAATACTATGGAAACCAATGAATACTGTAAGTTTTAATTCAGGCGTCCTCAAACTACAGCCCATGGGCCACATGCGGCCCACCTAGGACATTTATCCAGTCTGCTAGGTATTTTTCCCCACCACTGCCTGTCCTGCTTAGCAGCCAACTCGTCCCAGGGCCCACAGTCCGGACCTCCAATGGTCAGAGGGACAGTGAACTGGCCCCCTGTTTAAAAAGTTTGAGGACCCCTATAATTAAACACTGTTACCTGCCCAGGGTTTGACTGGAAGCCCTGCTCTCTTTTTCTCTTATGTTAAAGACAGACAGACTTATGAGTGTAGAAAGGTCTTCACGCCCTCTCTACAACAGAGACCCTCTCCTGGAAGTAATGGGGAAGAATGGAAGACAGAAGCTTTTTCCTTCTTCCTTGAAAGTCATCAGGGACAATTTGGAAAACCCTGTCTCCCATCCTCCAGCCTCAACTAAGAAAGCAAAGCAGCAAAGCAGACATGAGGGCCCCATCTGGACAGGTGGCGACACTCTCAAGGCCCTCAGTAAAGGAGATGGTCACCAAGCGAGGCCCTTGAGGAATCTGACAAGCCCTATCCTGCCTCAACCCCAGGCAGATGCCAACATGGGATGGAGCAGTATGCCCTTGCTCCAGACCGTGAGCTTGCATGCACTCGGGCACGTGTTTCTTCCAATTTTATTTCCAAACATGCTGAGAGAGAGCCACCCAAGCAATAAACGGTAATTAATTTACTGCTTTATGGCACATCTAAACAGGCATAATTGCCCAGGATTGCCATGGATTATAATTAATGGGCTCTATTGGGCCAGTCGGAGGACCTCATGCAGCAGTGAGGTTTGAGGCGAGGGTGTTGTCTGAGTGTGAGGAATTTTCAAGGCCCAGAAAGACAAATGTGTGGGCACCTTTTCTCTTCAGATAAAATGCTACAGAAATCCAGACATAGGTGGTACCAATGACACGTGCAAGCACTGCAGTAAAGATCAAAAAGTGAGAACTTGGATGCCTGTGAACAAGGGAAGGGGTGAGAAAATCAAGGTGGCTCCCACTATGGGGGACTGTACAGTAACAAAGAGGACTGACAGCCACCCAGGATGTCAAGGATAGACTGTACCACATGCTAATGGGTAGAAGAGGCCAGAAAAGGAGAAAAAAGGAGTTTCTACACTTTATAATTCCATTCGCATGAAGACTTAAATGGCAGAGCTCTGATGCAGAAGTCAGGACAGCGAGGGGTGGGGCCCAGGGCCCACCATGTTCTGTTTCTTGATCAGGGTGGGTGTGTGCTAACCTCATGGAGTTTTAAACTGTGCATATCATTTGGACACTTCTCCGTAACAACTACAGTTTATCTATCTTTATTTATTTATTTATTTATTTATTTTTTGAGACAGAGCCTCAAGCTGTTCCCCTGGGTAGAGTGCTATGGCTTCACTGCTCACAGCAACCTCCAACTCTTGGGCTCAAGCAAGTCTCCTGCCTCCACCTCCCAAGTAGCTGGGACCACAGGC